TTTAGTCTCCTCTGAGGATGTTCCAATAAGGAAATATAATTAACATTGTTACAGCACTGCTAACTATTGGATGACAAGTCCAATTAACTAAAACATTGTCATATAATCGTCCAGCCAGTTTTATTGAATTTCATATTTCAGTCTCATTAGATTATTATTGCTATAAATATAAGTATGCGAGTTTGTAAGATGTGTCTGCTAAATCATATTGCTGCTGTCAATGAATCCAAATTTTGACATGTTGTATGATCGCTATGGGAAGAGAGATTGTCACTGATTAATAACTGTTATACCTAATTTATAAAGATGGTTCCTAGGTGAGTAAAGTGTAATAGTTCATTCTAAGTAGAATGACATTGAAGGGAAGGTGACAGTCAATGATGTCTAATTGTTACAAATTATTGAGGCTTCTAACCTAAAACTGGCATTCTAATTAAAGATAAATTGTTAAAGGTCATAAGAAATTCTGTCCTCAATATGGCATGGTAAGAACATTCGTATAAAAATTAATAAAACAAAAAAAAAGTAGCTGCAAACTTGTAAAAAAAATACCAAAGTTTAAAAGAGAAATTAATTTTCAATAATAAGGGCTAGAAACAATACACCTTTCCAACAACATGGTTCATATTGTGATATCAGGATATAATTTAAATGTTGTTCAAATATTAATCTCAAGTTTGCAGACCAAACAAAAGATGCAAATGATATTCATTTGCTTAAATTGACAATGCTATTCTATCATCTGGTCACCAGATAGTCAAAGCACTGTAAAAATCACACCCCTCCTCACCACCACAATAATTGTCTTGGAAATGCAATTGCTAAAACATTCTACGTCTTAACATTCTTCTTAGAAAGTAATATTTTCTCTTCAGATGTCCCCTTCTCAACATGTTATCATGGACAGACTGATTATTCATCCAGTACTATAACTATTACAAAACATCTACAGATTCAAAAAGAAACAGGAAGCTGTAAAATTCATCTCATAGACGAGGGTCCTTCATTTTTGTACATGTATTCTTAAAATTTTTAGGCCACATTTCTCAATTCTATTTATTTTTTGCTAATTATTCTCTATCATTTATATTTCAGCACCCCATTATTCTCTATTCTTTATTTATTTGGGCCAAATTTACTCTATTCTTCATATTTTTTTCGTTTATTTTGCACTTTTTACCCATAACTCTCTATTCCATAAACCCCATCCACACCCTCATAGACAACAATAATAGCCAAAGAATGATAAAGAGTACAAGTCTCCTTTGTGTAAGCTTTTGGTTATTTTCTCTTTGGAAGAGTAAATCTTTTTACTTTTTTGTTTTTTATTTGAATTCAAACCATCATTAAAAAAAACCCCACAACTTTGTTGTTTAAATTTCAAGACTAAAGAAACTTGAAAATCAACAAACTGCCAGCAATAAAACAAATACAATTTATGACTATTCAACTTTTCAAGGCATAAATAATTTAGTCTTGAATTAGTGAAACACTTAGAAAGTCAACAATAAAAACAATCCAAATGCAGTTTCTACTTTTTTGTTAAGAAGACAAAAACGTGATATGTGGTGAGTCATGTTTCACATCAAGCTAAGTGACATCTACCGTACTTTTATATACTGACTTTTGTTGCAATCACTTTGTTGAGAGCTGTTTCTACAACCTGTATTTATCACAAAATGTCGATATATATCTATCATGTGAACCTTAAATTATCTGTCACTACAATCATTTATTATACCACTCCATGTACTGACCAGCAAAATGTCAATGAACAATCAACTTTGATTTCAAAGAACAGATATTGCTTTAATATATCAAATTTAGAAACAATCTGACAGACAGGGACAGACTATACTCCTAACAATACTTCAAGGCCATGCATATATTTCCCTTCCAATTTTCTTATACTGAAGATAGAAACATCAAAACATCTAGATCTGCCCTCCAAGAGAGCTATCATGAAATGCATTTTGGGGAAGGAGTGTTTATCATTTCCAAAATAGTCTTTTTTACATCTTAGTCTGGATTGATCTCTTATAGATAAGAATTTAGAAGAGGCCATGCATATAGATATTGAACATTGTAATTCAGAAAAAAAACTATCAAAAGGCCAGTGATTTGTAAGGAGAAGATTCTGTTAGTGAAAAATGAGCAATGGAAAACTAATTCCAAGTGATAACTTCTATATTCTTTTCATTGAATATCATCATTTATTAATTATCAATCATCAGTAAGCCATGTTAAAATTTCTGTAATAAATGTTTATGATTACCAGGGTTTTCCCTGGAACGAATTTCTTTTTTGCCAATTCGCTGTGTAAGGACAATAAATCCTAAAAAAAAGTTGTCTGATAGTCATGGTGTAAACTGACAGTAGGTGGATCTCAATTTTCTGAAAGTCTCTGCCCCATCCGTCAGATTTTCTCTATAGCGGTTTTCAAGATAATAGACATAACTTGCATTTTATCCCTATGTTTTTTTTGTTAGCCATGTCCATTGTATTGGTTGGCAGACAGAATCACATACTGTGGCATAATTTGTTCACGTTGGCCTAGAAGTTTCATTTAGGAAAAGATTTTTGTAAAAGTTAAAGGAAGACCATGGGAAATGAAGGGTAGACGCCAAGTGATGAGAAAAGCTCACTTGAACCAGTGGGTAATGGAAGCTAAATAAAAAGCAAATGAGAACAAGCATTCTGAGAGTATTGCATTGCAATACATAGTCCCCTACCGGTTAAAAGTTCATTGTACTGGAACAATATGCTAACTTGATCTATAACTTGTCATGGTGTAAACTTTATAACAAACATTAAGTCAATATATTCAAGCATGACGTAAAAAAAGTGTGGAAAACTTATTATTTAAGTGAATTTTCTAAGTCCAAGGACCATACCTCTGCACAAAATCATCAGAACGGAAATTCAAACTTGATCTGTAACTTGTCATAATAAAACTATACACCAATTATCAAATCCATATCTTCAAGTGACAAAAAAAAGTGAGGAAAACTGATTATTTGAGTAAATTTTCTAAGTCCAAACACCCATAACTCTGCACAAAATCATCAGACCGGAACAAAATTCTAACTCAATCTGTAACTTGTCATGATTAAACTATATACCAATTATCAAATCAATATCTTCAAGCATGACGAAAGAAAATGTGAGGAAAACTGATTATTTAAGTGAATTTTCTAAGTCCAAGGACCATAACTCTGCACAAAATCATCAGACCGGAACAAAATTCGTACTTGATCTGTAACTTGTCATGATGATGATAAAACTATATACCCATTATCAAATCAATGTCTTCAAGCATGACGAAAAAAAAGTGTGGAAAACTAATTATTTGAGTGAATTTTATAAATCCAAGGACCATAACTCTGCACAAAACCATCAGACTGGAACAAAATTTGAACTTGGTGTGTAACTTGTTACGATAAAACTATACACCAATTATCAAATCCATATCTTCAAGTGACAAAAAAAAGTGAGGAAAACTGATTATTTGAGTAAATTTTCTAAGTCCAAACACCATAACTCTGCACAAAATCATCAGACCGGAACAAAATTCTAACTCAATCTGTAACTTGTCATGATTAAACTATATACCAATTATCAAATCAATATCTTCAAGCATGACGAAAGAAAATGTGAGGAAAACTGATTATTTAAGTGAATTTTCTAAGTCCAAGGACCATAACTCTGCACAAAATCATCAGACCGGAACAAAATTCGTACTTGATCTGTAACTTGTCATGATGATGATAAAACTACATACCCATTATCAAATCAATGTCTTCAAGCATGACGAAAAAAAAGTGTGGAAAACTAATTATTTGAGTGAATTTTATAAATCCAAGGACCATAACTCTGCACAAAACCATCAGACTGGAACAAAATTTGAACTTGGTGTGTAACTTGTTACGATAAAACTATATACCAATTATAAAATCAATATCTTCAAGCATCACAAAAAAAAGTGCGGAAAACTGATTTGCGGGACTGATGGATGGACAGACAGACAGACAGACAGACAGACGAAGTGCAAACCTAATGTCCCCTTCGACTTCGTCGGTAGGGGACTAATAACTGAATAGTACAAAGCTGGATTATTTTACAATGACCCTTCATCCTAAAGATGATTTATGATCCCAGACTAATCTTCAGTATTAGACAGTGATCATCTGACGTTTATAGAAGTCAAGTAACTACTGACCAATCAAAATGTTTATACTAAGACTAATTGACCAATCAGGTATTATTTCATCATCAATCTGCATGATCTAAATGTTTTAACATCATTCTGCATCATCTGAGTGTTTTACCACCAATCTGCATCACCTAAGCATTTCGAGTGTGAAGCTAATTACAAATCAATGAATCTAGTGTTAGTTAATAACAAGTCAACACAATTATAGCTTTAGCAATAATTTGTAGTCATCAATTTTTCATTTATGTCTACCAAGAATGTCCAGTCAATATTTTTTATTGATAAATTGTTTCATCTGCATAGTTCACTTGTCATTTGTATCTTTTTGTAATACAGAAAAGAGGTTAAACTTTATTATGACATCTATTAATTAGAATACAAGTTAAGCGATAATAAAAAAAACATATGGTTTGGGTTATCTACTGACACTTTATTTTATATCCAACTCATTTTGTTACAACCTTGGTCATAAATTTATGAACTTCTGGCAAGAGTTTGATAACAAACTCCTTGTACAGCCTTTTTCTTTGCATAGCTTATGTACATTTTTACTTGATACATGAAAACGTCTACAAATAAATTGAAATGGTATTTTATATGTTCTGCAAATTTACACATATATGATTGGACTATATGCCATTAATTCAGAACTCTGTCTGATCAGATAATTGGGAATGGTGATGTAGAGTCAATTAACTGACTCAGTAATAAGGACATATTCTTTATAACACGATCAAGTTCTGAATGTGACAATAACAACATTGACTTTAAATTTATAAAAGCATACCTCATCTGATTCAAATACATGGCACAAAATTTTGGCCTGTTTTTTTTTCCGTAAAGAATCTTCTCCAGGACTTGACAGTATCCTTCGTCTTGCCATTATTACTAATATGTCCCCTATATCGGCTATATAAGATATAGTTCGTAAAGCATGGTCCATCATTATCTCCTACAATAGATAACAAGACAATTGTAATAAAGGGCTCTATGAAAGAAACATGATACAGCCTCAATATATCCACACATTAACACTGAAATGCAACTGTAGACATAGAAGAATGATTCTATGTTCCATGTTAAAGTACTATTATTAGGCCCTTTGCCCATTTCCATTATTACTAGGATATTGTTAAAGTTATGCAATATCTATGGCCACACTCAGAATGCTGTCGTCAAGAAATGAAAAAAATCCATTTACATTGGTTGACAATTAAAGAACATTCAGTAAGCAAGCTTTAGTTCATATACTCAGATAAAATAAAATGCTTCGCTGAGCGCAGCTGGATACGACCGCAGAGGTCCAACCCTGAACAGTTGAGACGAAAATAGACACAATATTCACGCTTGATACTGGTCTGAATTTGGATTCTTTTTAATTTCTGAAATCTGAAATAAAAAAAAAAATTGCCCCCCACAATTTCTTTTTTACCCCCCTCCCCCCCCCCCCCCCCCCTTTCCCAAAAAAAAATTCTTTCCCTCAAGATATGGTCATAATCTCAATTCAAATTTCCAATGGCGTTTGCAACCATAATTACCAATTTAAATACATCATAAAAGTCTTAAATAGATAATTTAAAAGCAGTGTAAGGAAGGTAATCCAACATTGTACAACATTGTACAATTTTGTTTTTGGATTACCTCCCTTACACTGTTTTTTTCAGAGAGATCCATACACCTTTCCGCAAGTTATTGTCTGGAAACTAGAAAAATGCTTATTTGGGCCCCTTTTTGGCCCCCAATTCCTAAACTGTTAGGACCATAACCCCCAAAATCAATCCCAACCTTCCTTTTGTGGTTATAAACCTTGTGACGCCAACGTCATACCAATATACGACCGCAAAAATTTTTGCTGTCGTATAAAAATGATGAAAGTGTAAGGGTTATAACAAATCTGATTGAAAACAAACAAACAGGAAATTTCACAAGAAGTTTAAAGAAAATAAAATGCTTCGCTGGGCTCAGCAGCTATATACGACCGCAGAGGTCGAACCCTGAACAGTTGGGGCAAGTATGGACACAACATTCAAGCTTGATACAGCTCTGAATTTGGATTGTGATTAAATATTTGACACAGCATAGGTTTCTGACACAGAAGGAATGTGGTCTAAGAACTTGAATTTTTTTAATTTACCTATTATGGTCCATTGTCCAAAATCAAAATACATGGTTAGATTCAGCATATCAAAGAACCCCAAGAATTCAATTTTTGTTAAAATCAAACTAAGTTTAATTTTGGACCCTTTGGACCTTAATGTAGACCAATTTAAAAAACAGGACCCAAAATTAAAAATCTAAATACACGGTTAGATTTGGAATATCAAAGAACCCCAATAATTAAAATTTTTGATGAAATCAAACAAAGTTTAATTTTGGACCCTTTTGACCTCAATATGAACCAATTTGATAGCGGGGCCCACAAATAAAAAATCTAAATACATGGTTAGATTCAGCATACCAAAGAACCCCATATATTCAATTTTTGTTGAAATCAAAAAAAGTTTAATTTTGGATCCCAACTTGGACAAACTTGAAAATTGGGTCCATAATCAAAAATCTAAACACATTCAGCATATCAAAGAACCCCAAGAATTCAATTTTTGTTAAAATCAAACTAAGTTTAATTTTGGTCCCTTTGGACCTTAATGTAGACCAATTTAAAAAACGGGACCCAAAATTAAAATACATGGTTAGATTTGGAATATCAAAGAACCCCAATAATTCAATTTTTGATGAATTCAAAGTTTAATTTTGGACCCTTTTGACCTCAATATGAACTAATTTGATAGCGGGGCCCACAAATAAAAAATCTAAATACATGGTTAGATTCAGCATATCAAAGAACCCCATATATTCAATTTTTGTTGAAATAAAAAAAAGTTTAATTTTGGACCCCAACTTGGACAAACTTGAAAACTGGGCCCATAATCAAAAATCTAAACACATGTTTAGATTCAGCATATCAAAGAACCCCAAGAATTCAATTTTTGTTGAAATCAAACAAAGTTTAATTTTGGACATCAACTTGGACCAACTTGAAAACTGGGCCCATAATAAAAAATCTAAACACATGTTTAGATTCAGCATATCAAAGAACCCCAAGAATTCAATTTTTGTTAAAATCAAACTAAGTTTAATTTTGGACCCTTTGGACCTTAATGTAGACCAATTTAAAAAAACAGGACCCAAAATTAAAAATCTAAATACATGGTTAGATTTGGCATATTAAAGAACCCCAATAATTCAATTTTTGATGAAATCAAACGAAGTTTAATTTTGGACCCTTTTGACCTCAATATGAACCAATTTGATAGCGGGGTCCACAAATAAAAAATCTAAATACATGGTTAGATTCATCATATCAAAGAACCCCATATATTCAATTTTTGTTGAAATCAAACAAAGTTAAATTTTGGACCCCAATTTGGACCAACTTGAAAACTGGGCCAAAAATCAAAAATCTAAATACATGTTTAGATTCAGCATATCAAAGAACCCCATATATTCAATTTTTGTTAAAATCAAACAAAGTTTAATTTTGGACGCTTTGGACCTTAATGTAGACCAATTTGAAAACTGGACCCAAAATTAAAAATCTAAATACACGGTTAGATTCGGCATAACAAGTAAATAAATGTGGTCAAAGATTTTACAAATCTAATGCGCCATACTGTGCAATTAAAGATTACTTCTTGAAATTTTTCAATATTTGAAATTTGAAAAAAAAAAAAATATTTGAAGAATAATTCTTTTTAATTTCTGAAATCTAAAATGAGAAAAAATTGACCCCCCACAATTTCTTTTTAGCCCCCCCCCCCTTTTTCCTTTTTTCCCCCAAAATATTCTTTCCCTCAACATATGGTCATTATCTCAATTCAAATTTCCAATGGAGTTTGCAACCATAATTACCTATTTAAATTTACCATAGTGCTAACTTAATCTTTTTTATAATAGAATTTAAAATATAGTGTCAGATCTTTCATATGGATTTTTTTTGTTAAAAAAAAAGATGCAACATATAGATATAAGATACAGATATTTTTACTGGTCTTCCTTTATAAATATGCATGTGTAAGGGAAGTAACGTTGTATTTGGATTACCTCCCTTACACTGTTTTAAATTATCTTAATTGTTCATTAACCATTACTTTATACATAATTCAAAAGCAGTGTAAGGGAGGTAATTTCAATGATGTATTTAATTTATCTCCCTTACACTGCTTTAAATTATGTTTTGAACTAAAGTATTTGTCCATTAACCAGGACAACCTTGTTTTTCCCCCTTTTTTGCCCCTAATTCCTAAACGGTTTGAGCCATAACCCCCCAAAGCAAATCCTAACCATCCCTTTGTGGTATGGAAACTTGTAGTATAATTTCAGAGAGATCCATACACCATTCCACAGTTATTGTCTGGAAACTAGAAAATGCTTATTTTTGGCCCCTTTTTGGCCCCTAATTCCTTAACTGTTGGTACCATAACCCCCAAAATCAATCCCAACCTTCCTTTTGTGGTATTTAACCTTATGGTAAAATTTCAAAGAGATCCATTCACTTAAACTAAAGTTAGAGTGCGAAAACCAATGCGTCTTCGGACGACGACGACACAAAGACGACAACGCCAACGTCATACCAATATACAACCGCAAAAATTTTTTGCGGTCGTATAAAAACTGCAATAAAATTAAAACCACAAAGTTATATAGTATTGATCTATCCTGCACAACTACTGATAAACACACCTTAATTTAAAAATAATCACCTGTTTACTAGAGCATAAAAATTAAGGCAAGGTCAGCAAAAAACTGACAGCCTTGTGAGCCCTCAGCATATACTACCCTGGTACAAAGGTGATAGAGGACAAGAAATTAGGGTATTTGCATTTGACTGTGTTTCCCCTGGAAATGTAATACATATGAGGTGCAACCTGTCATTTTTATAATAATAAATAAGGAAATGTGGTATGATTCTAATGGGACCACTATCCACAAGAGACCAAAGGACGAGGCTGTAAATATCTATGGAGCACTGTAAGACCTTCAAAATGAGCAAAACCCATACTGTAAAATAGATATAATAAGTCAAATTGACAAAATGTGAAACAATTCAAAATAAACTGTTATCACAGAGATATATCTCGCCTTTTTGTAATTTTGATAATGCACATGTTGAAATTAAAATAGCAATACTTTAACATGTAAGTTATGCAAATATTCAAAGTCGATGAACCATGACTGAAGGTACATGGCTAAACAATCTCCATGGAATGAGATGTGCCAATGCTAATACAACTGCATACCAAATACCATTGACTTATTATAAGTCGTTCCCTTTAAACAAACCTAAACACAAACATTAACTTGTAAACTATGTAAAAGTTTCAAAGTCAATGAACCATGATCAGGGGTGGGGCTATATAATCTCCATGGAAACGATACTTGCAAATGCCAATAAATTTGCATACCAAATATCATTGACTTAACATTAGCAGTTCATCTTAAACTGATCTAATCACAAACTAATACATGTAAAATAAGCAAAAGTTTCAAAGTAAATAGACCATGACTGAGGGGGCGGGGCCAAATAATCTCCATGGAAATGAGATATGCCAATGCTTATACAATTGCATACCAAATATCATTGACCTACCACTAGTGGTTCCCCATAAATTGACCTAATCACAAACTAATACATGTAAACTATGAAAAGTTTCAAAGTCAATAGACCCTGACTGAGGGGGTGGGGCCAAATAATCTCCATGGTAATGATATGTGCCAATGCTAATACAACTGCATACCAAATATCATTGACCTTCCACTAGTGGTTCACCATGGACTAGACCTAATCACAAACTAATACATTGTTGATGCTGCCGCCGCGGAAACAGCATACCTATGTCTCGCTTTTTGACTCCGTCAAGGTGAGACAAAAAGCATGGTCATAGCATCCATAAC